CTTAGGAAGAATACCAATACTATAAGGAAACAGTGTTGTGCAGATTAAATGCATTTTAGGCAGTATGCTCCAGTCCTTGTCCTAAAATCCTTAAGGAAAGCAAGATGGTGTAAAACTGATAGATCAGAAATTCAGAGCTGAATTCAGAGCTGCTATCTCACTAGGAAGAGTAAAGCCATTAGGGGCAGCACAGAAATAGCTCTGACGCTGCCACATAGGAAAATAAGTCATATGAGTAAATCATGTTAACATTGAGTTTAGGAAGTTCTGCTTCTGATATAGTTTTATTGAATAGCAGTCCATCACTGAGGAGTGAAAAGCTGAACTTTTATTCATTAAATTCTTCTCACTGCTCCTCAATTGAAATTGTATTGGTAATCTAAGTGTCCAGTCCAAATTGCAGCTAGTGAAATTGCATCGTTTATCTGAACTCCTCCTCCAGTATTTATGTAGTTTTTACACCTGGTTAGCATTTAAAACATTAGTCACCATTCCATATCAGAGTTCCTGCCTATCAGTGTGAAGTGAATCCATTATTCACTTTCTTAACTTTTATTTCAATAATCACCATCAATTACTGTGGAAAACATTGTAGAAAACCAGTTCTAATACAGCAAAAGATGGTGGGAAAACATTTCAGGATTATGAGAGTAAGTAATGAAATTGCCTTCAGTGTTCAAAGGAAAAAATGTAAAGACAGACCTTTTTATGCCATGGTCAGAAGCTTTTTTTTTTTWAAAAAAAAGCCTATTAAAAATGCTATCATATTCAATRAAGATACTTGATAAGTGTCAAGAACAAGAAATCTATTTTTTTTCCCACAGCCCTCAAAGAAAAAAAAAAAGGATTCTTCAATATATAAATCAGAAAATATTAACGCATGTTGAAGAAGTGGTATTTGGTGTGAAGAAGCGGTATTTGGTGTGAAGAAGCTAGTAAGTGATATTGCTCATTTTCCACAATAAATGTAAAGGAAAGAGACCCAATTTATGCTCTTCTGGAGACAAATGAGATTCAGTGAATACAAATCAGATAGAAAAATATACCTGAAGTATGGAATGACACTCATGCTTGGAGAGCAGTGTTTACAAAAAGAGTGCAAGGAGTTAATTATCAGAAGTTTATTTCTGTAACAAATTCTCACAACCATGTTTAATATAAAGCAGAGGAAGCATCGAGGAAAAATGACTGTTTAATATAAGATTCATCAAGGCATAAAAGCCTCATCCAGGATTCTACCACTAGAAAATGTGTGATTGTATATTAGAAGAGAAAGCATCTCTTTCTCTTTGCATCTCTTTTCTCTTCTATGCAAAGACCAAGAGAATAAGCAGTATAATATCCTCAATAGGGATTAAAATATGTTCACACTATGTAAAAAGTTGCTGAAGGAAATGGAAGTTGGGAGTATTATTTCTAACCGAAAGACTTGTTTACAAGTCTAACCAAAAGGCTTGTTTACATTCAACTGTTAAGAAAAGCTTCAGCATAAAGCACTAATCTTAATTTTTAACTTATCCATGATTTTAACTTACCCAAAAGCACTTCTGAACTTCAAACATGGGAATTCACACTCTCTCTCTCTCACACTTGCTGCATAAGGCTAAAAAGCCGCCGAAGAAACATGAGGCTGCGTTATTGCTTTGTACAGGAATTGACAATGAAAAAAATCTTTATTGAGCTCCAAACAAAACACTGCTCAGTCACCAACCAGCTAGGAGTTAATATACAGTTTTTAAAAAAGTGTATAATGTTACACGCTTTAAGGCTTTAGTACAAGAGATAGAGAACAGGGTTTTCATATTCCGAAGCCAGCCTCGTTGCCTAGGTACGCTGACAAGCACAATGCTCTAAGCAGTCCGTAATTAACGTGGCAGAAGTCCCTGGAAAAGAGCAGAATGGAACTTATTTGTATACATGTGGAGWTTAATGATTACTGATTCTCTGGAGCCTGCCAGACTGCAAGCAGTGGGATCAGGCAATTAAGGTAATAAATGTATGTAGATTTATGGAAACCATTGCAGAAATTGTGCTAACACTAATTCAGTGCAAACATGACCAAAAGCTTCTGTTTAATAAAGACAAATTAATGATTTGATTAATTATAATGATTACATTTGTTTGACTATTTGACACAYAATAGTTGACCATTGTTAAAAATATGATATTCTACTAGAATGGATGAGTGTTCCTAGGTCAAGTCTGTCACAATAAAGGACAGCCTCATTTCTATGTTGAAAAAAAAAATAGGCATCTTTTTATTTTTCTTCTTCTACAAAACCTAGCAAATTTCATTTCATAGATTAATCTAAAGAAGAAAACAAAAAAATCCCCAAGCATAAATGCAACAACAGAACACAAGGCTAACACATGTTATTTCAGGAACTGTCAAGAGAAGTCTTGCATTGTACATTCACAGTTTCTAAGAATATCTAAAAGCAGCTGTTAGGACTGATGTAATTCATTTCATACACATGTATAAGACATGAGCACTTACATAAACTTTTTTTTTAGAGGCATGAAAACATTTTTCTTAGCAGAAATAAGATGGACAAGTTTGGAGGATTTGATGATGGGAGGTAATGGTTTTACAATTCATACCACGATATTATGGTAAATATGTAGACAGTTTTTTCTTATATGTATCACAGATTCTTAAATGCATTAAAAAATTAAAAATCATTGGACTCTGCTAACCTTTTGGTCAAGGTGTGCCACGTTTACTAAAAGGGCACCACTTGGGACACACTACGTGCAACATTCACAGGCTTTTTGGGACAGAGCAGCAGTGAGATGGTAGAAAAATGACACTATTCAATTCATTCTCCCTATAGCAGGGACTAAGGAAAGTTGCCATTAAGAAACACGAGCTGGATAAACACTCTGGCAGGCTGAAGTCACTTCTAATTCAGTCATTCCACTATTACTCATCCCCGCTATTCAGTATTTTAGATTTAAGCCATCATGCTTCCTCATACATAGTTTATGTAAAATTCTGTGTTTACCAATGAAGACTCCGTGGCTTATGTAACACTCCCTGATATTATGTAACTTCAAAGATGTCAACAGAAAGATCTGACTAATATGTATTTTAGCATGATCTATATAACCATTCTGCTGCAGCAGCTCTAGCTGGCCGTACAATCTTACTGAAAGTCCGGAGTCCCAGGGGGCAGTAACCTCATGTGACCACCACTACTAACCTTTACAAGGTCTCTTTCTTTAAATCTTTATTAATAGCCTCAAAATTGTTCTAAAGCCATTTTGTATGTGCAAATAGTTTTCTGTCTGCCTGTGACAGCAGCCACCTGTGGTATCCATAATCAGTGCAGTACGYGCAACTTTTCAAAACAGAGCTCTAAAGCACAAATTAAAAGGCCCTGAATTCCTGAAATTAGTAGGAAGAATTAYCACTCCAAGTAGAAAAATATTTACTCTGAGCACAAGCACAGAGAAAATTATTTTATACTTTATGCATTAAATTCATGAGAAACAGTAAGGCAAGCTATTCTGCAGCTTATGTCTCTCAGTGGACTTGCCCTCCCCTTCAGTTGTACTAAGCCCAGTCTACTCCTTGTGCAGAAATGCTTGACATAATTTTATGTTCTACAAAATGATTTCTTCAGCTTTGTACAACAAGCTTAAAGACATGTTTGCAGACTGGATTAGAGCTAAGTTCCCATTTGAACACCACTAGCATAAAAGTCACATTCATTTTCTCATCTTCGATGAAACTACCTAGTCACATGAMATATAATCAAAGCTAAGTGTAGCTTTTAATTTCCAATCACAGGTGCACTTAAACAGTAAAGCACCATAAAACAGCAGTGCCCACACATTAGGGTAGCTTAATAYCATATTGCTTTTTAAAGTTGTGATTGTTTTCCTGTAAAATCACAGTCAATAATTTTGATTGGTGTTGGACTAAACATCTCTAAGAATTATGTAGTTAATGACCTATGTGCAAAAATATTGAAGGACTTGCTTGAAAGACCCTTTATTTCAATTTCCCAGATGATTAAAGATACCTACCTAAACATCAGAAGGTTAAGGTTTTTGTTCTCCTGGTTCTCCAAGGAGTTGCATTTCCTGACAAGAGGAAAAACAAATTTACTAAATATGAAATATTTTCAAATAAAAACTGTAAATAAAGCAAATTAACTATAGTTAAAAGAAACTTAATGATTAATAAAAAGCRTTAGATAATATTTGTAAGTTACATTTAAGTTACTAAAATTTATGGAAAAAGAATATACTACAAACTCTTGGTTATGAGGTTTTACATTTGTTTAATAGGGAATAGTTTGTCCAAATTAAACTAACTAAGCTAAGGCTTTTTAGATTACTAGCACAAACTGAATGTTTTAAAAGGAGAATTTAAGTGATCTTGAAGCCTTCCCTAAATGCTAAAATGAAACTAAATTGTAGTCTCCCTGTTTTTATTGGTTATATAAATTAAGTGATATTAAAATCTTATTTGATTTATTTACCTTTGCAAATGAAGACCGTTTTAAGGGTTACACATCCTCTGCCTCTGACGAAAGCGACCTCAATTAGTCAAGTCAGAAAGTCTTTAAAAGCTTTGTGTTTATTGCTTCCAGCACGGAGCGAGGTGGTCATTAACGTACCAAAATTCTCATAAAAATTCCAAAGTTGCACTATTGAAAAAATGCTCAACAAGATGAAAACTAGTCACATCTTTTTCAGAAAATTCATTAGCTATTTTTAACAAAAATATTTTGATTTAATGTGGCACTCAGATTCATACCATTTGGATACTTTAAACATCATTTAAATCTACTGTGAGTATATAAGTGTACATTTAGGTTTATACCTTTTTTTAAGGTGCGCAATGTTTTAATATGAGCCTTTTATGCTGATCCCTGTTAAATGGATTTCTCCCTGTTTACTACTATTTATGAAGTTTTATTATAAAAATAAAGCATAAAATTAATCTCACACACACTGTTTTTCTTTCAAAAGTTTATTTAGTATCAAGCAAGGGTAAAACTTTGCTYAACACTACAGAACATTTCAAGACTCGAGTTACAAAATACCACATTATTTGCATTTGTACTTTGCTTCCCTTTTTACGCATATTTGCAAAGAGAAAAACTAGCAAATGGCTGAAAATAAAAACTAAAAACTAAACTGTTGAAAACCTTTAAAATAAAAGGTTACGCTTATGTTAAAAGAATGGACTAACATATTTAGTAAACCTAGTTTTTAACACTAGTTAATCAAAGGTTATTTTTTGATTGCCTATTTTTCAAATACAGTTTGGAAATAACAAAATTCCTTGTTTTACATATCTTTCTGTCCAAGTTGTCCTTTCAACAACATATTTTAAGTTCAGTCCATCCATTCAGATTTTTAAGCACTTTGATTTAATAAAAAGGGATTGTTCATAGAAAAAATTACTTTGAACAGTATACAGGACTGGTGGAGATTGGATATTTCACAACATCAGACAGTACAATCAGTATCTGGCATATGGCTGGTCTCTGTAGACTCCTTTTGTTGTCCTTGCTGAAGGTGCCTTGTGTCTTGAGTTGGTCCATTCTTCTTGCCCTGCAAGTAGCAAAAACAGACTTAGATTTCTTTCTGTGTTCTTGGAGATGCTCATGTTTTTGGTTATTTAAATTGTGAATTAATATATTTACTCAGAGAAAGAGAAGTCCTGATTCTGAACCAGGAAATATGGGTTTAATGCAGGTCTGCATGAACTATCCACAATGCTCAGTGGCACAACAGTGACAGCACTGACACCCTATTTGGTCCCTGGCATTGGGTTGGGTCTGCTTGCAGCAGACAAATGCTAACTATAGCAGCAGACTGACCATTAGGCTATGAGGAAATGAACAGAGGATCTGAACTGAATACTAGTGAATGAACAAACCTCAGACATAAGTCTGAATAAATATAGTATAATGACGGAAAAAAAAGATTTGGGATTTACATTTATTTAGTCAAAATCAGAGTACCATTTAGTCCTGGTAAGGAGAAAAAAAAAAAAAAAAAGTCTCCAAACTTGGGAAGTGTTATGGTCTTCCAGTTCTGCCTTTTGGGAATTGCTCAAGTGTCTAAGTGAATCCTGTGCAATCCAAAAAAAGAAGTGGAAGGGAGCAGCCCGACAACTTGATATGGTCAACATGTTAAAAATTCAACAGAAAATGTTTTCTCTTGAATACAAAGTTAAAGAACAGCCTGAACTTCTCCAAATGGGCTAAGTAACTCCCTGAGACACCTCAAATCAGGTGACAGGAATTGTACAGCCGAAAAAGTTCCACAGGGTTCAATTTCTGTTTCTTTATAAAAACATTCTCATCTAAGCTACCTCAATTAAGACTTTGGTGTTATATATGGACTGTAGATCAAATATCCCATTAGGCAGACAGAACATTTGCCCAGGAGGTAAACTGCACAAATTCAATTCCACCGACAGTCTGGAAGAGGTCAACTCCCCACAATTTGACTACAGGGGAACATGCAGATGAGAATCAACCTCTTGCATTTTGTCAAATGGAAAACAAGATTCAAATGAAGACAGAAAAAAAAAATATCCTGGCCTAACACCTAACGCAGAAGTCTTGCCTAAACAAAAGCAGTCTAAGAGTAGCAGACTATTTGCTTCTTCTCAGGTGACTTGTCACATCAGCAGATTAAAGAGTCACATTATTTGATTTATTTTTGTTTTAGTGCCATTAGGGGCTCCTATATGCTCTGGACTTCAGCTTCTCAGAGAAGTTCAGAWACTTTACAGGACAGCTATGTAGACAGCTATCTACCCAATATGCAAGGTTATGAATCTTAGCCTGAAACATCTCGTGTTCCTTACATACTGTACAGGTGATGACTTGTATCCAATTCTGCATTTAAGGATCTATTTGCATTAAGAAACAAAGCATTTTCATTGGTTGTAATCAAACTTTCTCCCAGGTACTCACTATCTTCTCTATATGAGGAGTCAGTGTTCTGAATGCCTGCTTTTTAAATAAAAAAATTCTAATAATTTCAGTGTTTTTCCTTTATCCATTTTCCATTAATGAAATACTCTTAAAAGTTATATTTACACTGGCTAACAGTTTATTTTAATGCTGAAGTACCAAGTGATTTAAGGCATTTAATTACTAAGTCCAACTGAAAGYGCAGGCAGACAGAGGAACTTCAAGTGACCGCCTCTTTGGATGAGCTGATCCTTTCCCTTTAGCAAACTGTATTAGTTTAAGCAAATGACATTAAGCAAAGTCTCTGCATTAAATGCATTTATCACAACAAAGAATCTCAGTTGAGATAACTTTTGTTTTCCACAGGAAACACTGCAAAAGGAAGTTTAAGAAACGTGCCATAGAATACTTTCATGTGGGTACAAAAATAAGTCTCTGTGATATCCGTTACTCAGAATCACAACTCTCATTACTTACTAGCAATCCTCCTGCATTGGAGGCTTGAGCGATCAACAATTCTGTTTCTCTGATCTCTAGCCAGAGACTTAACATTTATCCCTTAAGCAAAGGTGCCTTTTAACATGCTTCATGCTTCTAATCCATAACACATTTCTTTAATTAAACTTGTCACCACTGCACTTCTGGTTCAAAAAAAAAAAAAAACCCAATTTATCCCACTGGCATATGTCTTTTGCTTCATTATGCATTGCTTCTTCTCTGTATGAGTTGCCTACTGCCCTCATGTCTATTAGGGACCTAAAGTACTTTCATAACCTTTACATAATGGCTCCCTGCTTGATTTCATGAGTGCAATTTGAAAGTGAACTAATATCAAAAGAGCCTACAAGCCTAAAATGTACTCAGGTAGGCCCTGATGCAGCGGAGAACTTCAGCATGTCCTTAGCTTATACCACCAGCTGTGYCCTGCTAGAAGCACTGCCTTTCATGGGTGAACAACTCCAGGCCATGCATCCCTGATATTCTCTTAAATAACACTGAATGTTGTATGAAAAGAGTAYACAAGGGTACTTAAAACCCCAGGACTGCCCCACTTTCACAATTAGAGTAGCTAACAGAGCACAAAAACCTCTTGCTCCATTTGTCACAATAACCACAGGTGGAACAATGTGTGAGGACTGCTAAGCAGCAGTTATCCTGCAAACTTTCTCCTATGGAGACTTTTCTGGTTGTATTATTTCTTCAGAAGTCCTTCCTACTTTTATCCATACAGCTCAGAGGGCTACTCACCGTAGGAGTCGTATGTATCTTCACTCAGTCCATGCCCATAGTCGTAGTAATCTGCTCCACTGTACGAGAGGAGGAGGAGGGAGTAGGAAGAGAAAAGGGAAGAAGGTATAACAGTTGCAATTTAAAGAATAATGCTTACCATCTCATTCTACCTTTGAAAAGGAGAAAACCTGAAAGATGTGGACATGTGCTCTACTAGGGAAGTCTAGCACTCAAGTGACACAATGACAGCTTAAGTCCTATTTATCCATTAGCAAGAGGAAAAGCAGACTCTAGAATTATTTACATTGAGCCCCTTGTCCATAGTGCTAAATGATGCTGTGCTTTTTTTATACTGGTGAAATGTTGGGAAATTAACATGAATTCAAAAGCTTCATACACCTCCACAAAACCAAAATCTTCTGGTTTAAGTGCCTCCAAGCTATGAAGACAAATCTCTGTACATTACCAAGAAGTGTTATTAAATCACAAACACTGTTGATTTGACTCTTCCCCGAAGAGATATGAACTGTTAAATATGAACTACTTAAAGATAGCCTAAAAGTGCCAGTGAAGAAACAGTGGTAAGAGTAGATATCGAATAGCAATTTCTTTGCTCAGCACACTTCTCTACTTACTACCTAACACTGTCTAGTATTTTGCCTTTSCATCTTTCTTCATTTGGACAAGTCTATTAAAAACAGATTCACTTTTAACCAGAGCAGTAAATTCAAAAATTCCTGGTAAAAAGAAAAAACACGAGGGAGAAGCAACATACTGATCTGAGGTCTACTCTTCAAAACAAAATGAATATGCATATAAYCAAAGACTAGCATTTTAACAGTGAGAGAAATGACGACACGAACTTCAGAGTTTAACAAGTTTCTGCAGCAGCTAGAATTCAAGAATCTGTACTAATATTATAGCCCATGGGCTAAACAGCCTTTGAAATTCATCATGAATCTTAGAAGGAAATGATCCTAAGAAATGGACTATGAAAAAAATCTTGAAATTGCTTTTAAGTGGAAATCAATTTTGTAAACTCTCACTGATTTCATAATGACATTTTTATTTATATTAAAGCCACTGAATAGAAATGCCAAGACAGGCCTTATTCCATGTTACTTTTCCATCATGTTTTCATGTTTCTTTTAACTATAGCTATTTAGAGACTTTCTTGTGATGTCCTTCAAACATATTTAATAGACTTTGATGTACCTAGTCTATTAAATATGTTTGAAGGACATCACAAGAAAGTCTCTAAATTTGTTGCTTTTATCAAATAGTACATAAAGATAAATTAATGTTCAATATCCCATGTCCTGATCAGGGCTTATATTTGGAAAGGAAATAATCCACAAACTGATGGCACCAAATCTTTAACTTTAGACCAAGGAGGAGAACATTTTAACATATGATCACTAAAAAGCAATTACCAACATTGACAAAATGTTCCTAACCTAAGATTGATTATTAATACAAGCTAAAAACCAGAAAGAAAAGGTAATTTATATTCTTAAACTGAGCAGACAGAGCTTTTGTACAACACAAGTAATGCCTAAATGATAATTAGGATGAACAAAATTACAAGACAGATCACTTGGTTTTCAACCAACAGAAGTTTTAAAGTACATAAAATAATCCAGACTAGAAGAATGAACATCCCAGTGTCTGCACATGCACACCCAAAACTGTATTAGTTATTCCTAGCATATGAGCCAGCACTTTAAATTGAAAATAAAACCACCTAGACACTATATACGGTTTGTCAGCCCATGCAATGCAGACTAGTAACAAGGACAAAATTTGAAGAATARGAAATATAATTTTGTGCTGAAGCAGCTCAGGGATAAACAGTCTTTATTCAAGACAGTTAAAACTTAAAATTGACACTATCATTCTACATGGTATTTGATTATTTATTTTAAGAATGTCATCTACTTAAATACATAGCAGCTGAGACCTATTGCTGTATCTGTCAATCCATGTCTCTGTCAATTACTTCAGCAGGATTTCATTTCATAGATCTGAAATATCTATTAAACAAAAAAAAAGGGATGGTTTTATGGAATGTAAACTGCAAAGCAAAAACTGGAAATGGAAAAAAACTCACTTTGCTTACACTGAAAGCATACCATGATCCATCTTTATTAGTGGACAGAACCTTTAGAATTAATCATCTGTCCCAAAACTACAAATTGTAAATTCAGATCAATAAAACAAAATGACTAGAAGGACCTAGCCTAGCAGTAGATGGAAGAAATATCTGAAAAATGTGCCTGAATCATTGCTTTTTTTTTTTTTTTTTTAATATTCAGGTGAGTTTCAAGTGTTTTCCTAACCATCAAGGAATAAAAGTCTAACCAATACTGGAATATCTACTGTGAAACACATCTTCTGTACACAACATCTTGTTTGTATCTACTCAAATTTAATGCTTTTTATTCCCATGCCAGCACAATGTCTTTGCTCAATCTTCTTTCCTGTCAGACCAAAAAGGAAAAACATTCTTCCATTCTCCCATGTCAACCTAAGAACTAGGAACCTCCCAAACCACTTAGTAGTACAAACAGATTAGCAAACAATAAAATATGTTGCTTCTAATTGCTGAGCGCTGGATATTAATCCTGTAATGCTCAAAGAAAGTGTGAAGTGAGGCCTAAGTAGTTTTAATACACCCATGGGGAAAGAGTCTGCTCTCTCCAAGCAGCAGCTTGAGATCCAGTTGAGCAAGCTCAGATTCCAGCACTGCATTGCTGAGAAAGTTAAGCCTTTGATGAGCTGTTTCCTCCCATAAAACAGAAGACTGACCGTCTACCTGCCAATTTTCTAGGACCGTTAYGCCTTACATGACAAACACTTTAATTTAGCTAACTCCAGCTAAGCTCTCCTAGAATACCACCCAGCTTTCTCAGATTTTTCTATTGAACTGAYGATTTTTGAGTAAATCAAGCATTTCTTTTAAGTCTTAACAAGAATCTTCCTTTAATATGCTATTAGTTTTTTTCTGACTAGAGATATTGGGATGTTGGTGACAGATCAACAAAACATTTGAGTTTCAGGAACCTAACGTTCATGTATGTGTCAGAATAATTCACAAAGTTATTTTTGGGGACAACCCTAGAATCAGCATGTCAGCCACACATTGTTGATCTTCTGTAGTATTTGCATTAATTACATGAAGACAGACAGAATATATTGTGACTAATGAATGTGATTGCAACAGCCCTCTTCATCAGGAATCTTCTCAGATGTTTTTATGTCATTTCTACACTTGAAATGGCAACAGTATGACAGGGAGCCTGATGGCTAAGGGGAAAACTAAAAGCTCTCCTCTGCAAGCTTGTAGTTCAGCGCAAACACCTAGACCATCAACAAGCCCGGTTACTGGATTTGTAAGCACAAACTGAACCAGTACTCTTCTCTTCCTCAGTGATCACAAACAGCTTCTTTGCAACCACTTCAGGTTCTTGAATTAGGCAAAAATATATTTTTCTTGTGCACACTGATATTAGAAGTAGCTTGGGGGTTGATCCTTTTACCTAGAAGTCAAGGTAAGTTTTCAAAGAGACCAAAGAAAGCTATCAAACACAGAAAGGTACCTTTAAAGATGATTCTTGTGTAGCTATTCTCATCTTCTACAAAGATATGACACAGAACAGCAGCAAAGAGCAAGAAGAAACAAGGAAGTTTCTAGCAAGGGAAATTTTAACAATTTTTACAATAACCACAACTAAACAGAATCTTTCCATAAGAACAACACCTCTGCTAACTTCCTGTCGTCTTTTCAGGTTCAACTGGTTTTGATTTCAAAAAACACATCTGTCAACAGTAAGAAGGAAGAAACATGTCCCAAATGCTATTGTTAAGACAACTACTCACTATAGCAAAGCTTCTCTTATCTCCAAAATCTTTTGGAACATTCAGTTGAATATCTGATCTTAATGCTTTGGAGAGTTGTTAAAAAACACAGATTTAACTCAGCTTTTAGCATGGTAGCATAAAATCAGGATATCAAGAAGAAAACCATGCTTTCTTGCATCTTTCAGGAAAAAAAAAAATATGTAATACCCAGCTTTGCCAATTCTTGTCACAGCTGGGATATATACCTTGGGAAAAGCAACCCTTATATCCCTGTGTCTAGTTTATTCCTCAAGAAAGTGGAGACARTGAACTAAGAGACCAATTGAGAAAGCTTTCTAAAATAGAAAAATATGTGATTTTCTTTAAATTACAGCCTATTACAACTTCCTATGAATAATAACCAATTGCTAGTTCATGTAGTCTTAAAAGATCACCAGATTTCCTTCACAAGGATTCCCTTAGCTATCATTATTTAGAAACTACTTTATGGCAGAAAWTGTTTTAAGTTTCACTTTTGTAGAAGAAAAGTGAAATACCTTCACAGATATCCATGTCCTGTCACTACCAGGTACAGAACTATGTCCATCTATATGCTTCTAGCAGAAGACCAGATTTTGTCCTAACATTAGCAGTTTTATCATCTGAAATATCCAATTATTATTATTGTATGAGAACACTCATGATTATTCCACAATAAACTATAATTTCTGATGAATACTGAGTGTTTTCCATTCTCTGGTATCTGAATGGTGCCAAAACTGCACATAAAGCCACAACTCCCAAATCCCAGATATTTTTTTTTCTTAAAAAATAAAACTCAAGGTGGATAAACAAAGATAAATTTGAAAAGCTTTTCTGCAACCAAATTACCCTTCTCCAGTGTTGCCCAATTAAACGCACAATTTCCTGCCCACAGTGGAAAGCAGCATATCATTTCTTCCCCAGTAAGCAAATAAAATAGCACAGGATAGTCTATGAAAGATAAAATTGCAATTTTCCATTACTGCTAGTGAGCAGCTGCAGTGTATTGACTATCAAGCAGCAAAAGTGTCAAATTTTCATCAACAGAAAAAGGATTCTGGCCACCTGAGCTGAGGAAACCTGATTTCTCTTGCACCTGTGCCATACAACTGAGGCATTTGCTAAGTGAGATCTTCCAGTGAAGTTTCCTTTCCATCCCTGCGTGCAAGCCCAAGAGCAGAGGAAGAAACCTGCC